TAGTGTAAGCCATTAGTACAACCCCCCACACACACCCGATTCTCTTGCATCTCACTATAGAGGCATTGGTTGCATATAGTTATTTACATATGTGGAGGCAGCTGGAATCTGTACAGCAGAAAGTCTGTGGATAGAGAGAAACAATAAAATTGGGAGAGTTGAAGAACTCTTTAGGCAGGTACATGTATGAAAGCTGATGTCTCCAGCTTTGAAGACCAAGGTTTCTCTGTTATAAAGAGCGCATGACCAAGAAAATGAACAAGATGGAGTCAGGAACTGGAACAGATCTCAGATTATCAGACTAATTCCTGGGAGGATAGTCTTAAGTATACTAGCTTGGTAGGAACATGAGAATTCGGGGTTCTTATGCAAGGAAAGGATGATAAAAGAGCCCTTCTGCTGACACAATTATTGCCTCTCATGGCCAATACGTCAAAACCCATTAAGTGAAAGAATAAATCTTTCAACAACTCTGGATCTATTGGCTTCTCACCATCTCTATGTGAAAAAAGTAAATTCTACATTTAGCCAAGAAAAAACCAAATGCACAGGTATAGTTGGTACTTTGCTCAATAGTAGCAACTGTGAGAAGGATCTCGGAGTCCTAGGGGACAATCAGTCGTGTGGTGCAGCTGCCAAAAAAGCCAACAAACTTCTAAGCTGCATTAACAGGGATAGAATCAAGATCACGTGAAGTGTTAATACCACTTTATAATGCCTTGGTAAGGCAACACTTGGAATACTGCATCCAGTTTTGGTCATCATGATGTAAAAAAGATGTTGTGACTCTAGAAAAAGTGCAGAAAAGAGTAACAAAAATGATCAGGGGACTGGAAGCTAAAACATAAAAAACAGCTGCTGGAATTGGGTATGTCTAGTTTAATGAAGAGAGGGACTAGGTGTGACATGATAGCAGTGTTCCAATATCACAGGGGTTGCAACAAAGAGGGAGTCGAGCTATTCCCCAAAGCACCTGAGGGCAAGACAAGAAGCAATGGATGGAAACTAATCAAGGAGAGAAGCAACCTAGAACTAAGGAGAAATTTTCTGACAGAACAATTAATCAGTGGAACAACTTGCCTCCAGAAGTTGTGAATGCTCCAACACTGGAAGTTTTTAAGAAGAGACTGGACAACCATTTGTCTGAAATGACATAGGATTTCCTGCCTGAGCAGGGGGTTAGACCAGAAGACCTCCAAGGTCCCTTCCAACTCTGATATTCTATTCTATTAATGTAGGTCTTCAAACCTCTTCATCATCTCAATACTGTTCCTCCACTTTACCTATCTTTCCCTTCTTAGAAACATAGAAAACAGACGGCAGAAAAAGACCCATCAAGTCTGCTCTTTTGAGTTGTTTTCTTTTTATCATTTTATCATTTTTTGTATTTTTATTTTTCGTCAGTTGATAGAAATGTCTTTATCCTAAGCATGTTTAAACTCAATTACTGATGAATTGACCCCCTATCTCCACTGGAAGTTGGTTCCAAGTTTCCACTGCTTTACTGTAAAGTATTACTTTCTGATATGAGGCACTGTACTGCTCTATAAAGCCTTAGTAAGGCCACACCTAGAATACTGCATCCAGTTTTGGTCACCATACTATAAAAAAAGATGTTGAGACTCTAGAAAGAGTGCAGAGAAGAGCAACAAAGATGAGTAGGGGACTGGAGGCTCAAACATATAAAGAACGGTTGCAGGAACTGGGCATGGCTAGTCTAGGAAAGAGAAGGACTAGGGGTGACGTGATAGCAATGTTCCAATATTTGAGGGGCTGTCACAGAGAGGAGGGGGTCAACCTTTTTTCCAAAGCACCAGAAGGCAGGACAAGAAACAATGGATGGAAACTGATCAAGGAGAGATTCAACCTAGAAATAAGGAGAAATTTTCTTGACAGACGAATCAACCAATGGAACAGCTTGCCTTCAGTAGTTGTGGGTCCTTATCACAGGAGGCTTTCAAGAAGAGACTGGACAGCCACTTGTCTTGAATGGTATAGGGTCTCCTGCTTGAGCAGGAGCTTGGAGTAGATGACCTACAAGGTCCCTTCCAACTCTGTTATACTAAGTCTATTCTATTCTAAGACATTGCTTTTGAATTTCCCTCCTGTCAGTTTGAGGTTCTTGCATTTCCTTCAATGTTCCCAAGAGCAACTTTTTTTTTTTCAAATCAATCATCTCTCTCTCTGCATGCGATGATCAGCTCACCTCTGGAGCCCCTGAATCTCTTTCCACATGTAATATATGTGTAGTTATTTCTATGAAGGTCATTTTATGAGAACTAAATTGATTGTTGTAAGGCTCTTTCACAATACAGCATGAAACTCTATGCAGATTCCTCCGTATGGACTTTTTATGAGAAATTGAATCAATATACTATTTCCCACACATAATGCATCTTATCTGTATGAACTTTTTATTGGGTATAAGAGTCATCTGAAGACTTTTCACTATTAAATGTTCGAACATGGCTTTTCTCCTAAATGGATCCTCTTATGAGAAGTAAGATGACCATTCTGGCTGAAATTTTTCCCACACTCTAAACATTTATATGGTTTCTCCCCTGTGTGGGTCCTTCTGTGGCACGTAAGGGAAGAACTAATATTGAAACGCTTTCCACATTCCGGGCACTGATACGGTTTCTCCCCTGTATGGATCCTTCTGTGGCAAATAAGAGAAGAGCTAATACGGAAGCTTTTTCCACACTCCGAGCATTTATATGGTTTCTCTCCTGAATGGATCCGTCTATGGGAAGTAAGATCACTGCTGGTGTTGCAAGTCTTTCCACACTCTATACATTTATAGGGTTTCTCTCCGGTGTGAATCCTTTTATGGGAAGTAAGTTGATTGCTCTGAGCAAAGCATTTTCCACATTCCGTACACTTGTATGGTTTCTCACCAGAATGGGTCCTTTTATGTGATGTGTAATGACTGCTTCTGTTGAAGCTCTTTCCACAATCGGGACATTTGTATGGCTTCTCCCCTGTATGTATCCGTTTATGACAAGTTAAGGAACTGCTCGTACTAAAGGTTTTTCCACAGGCCATGCATTCATAAGGCTTCTCTCCCGAGTGGATCCTTTTATGGGATGCAAGATCACTGCTAGTACAGCAACTCTTCCCGCATTCCATGCACTGAAAAGGTTTCTCCCCTGTATGGATTCTATTATGGGAAGTAAATGTACCCCTAGTACAGAATCCTTTCCCACACTCCATGCATGTATACGGTTTTGCCCCCAAGTGGATGTTTTTATGGGACGTAAGGGAACTCCACATGCTGAAGTCCTTTCCGTGTATTCAATAAACAGTAAGATTTTCAGAAACGGAATGATCCTGGTGAATTATTTGGATACTCGAGCTGGAGGTTGACCGATGGAAAGGTGCTTCTGAGGTTATCAAAGCAAGACCTTGACTGGAACATGCTCTCCTCTCTCTATGGAAACAAGATGAAGTTTCTAGCCCTGCCTATTAAAGTGAGTGGGATGAGAAATGCAGATGAGGACATTGTCTTTTTCTGTATTAAAATATAAGACCAATATTTCTTCCGAGAAAAAGAGAAGTTGGTTGCTTGTGACCAGCAAATACGTTCTCCAACAATTTGACATTAAAGTAAAGAGGAGCTCTTACCCAAAGAAGCCACATTCCTAGTATTTTCTAACATAACCTCCACATACAGGGATTTTTGATCAAAATCCAGCAGGGCCCATTCCTCCTTAGAGAAAGACACAGCGACATCCTCAAAGACCATGGGTTCCTGAAAAAGGAACAAAACAATCATATTAATGTAGATTTCCAAGAATACAATTAACGAATGCAATTCTAGTGACAAAGTTTCAGCATGGGATAAAGGAGCACTTTCCCTGGAGAAACTAGGAAAAACCATCAGGATTCAAAGCCACTAACATTTACATACTGAATGGTACCAACCCCAGTATTCCTCTGGGATTAATTTCTGGGATAAGCCATGAATGCTCCACTTGTGCGAGGAGAACCGTAAGTTTCAGGGTCGTTCGTGGCCCCAGTCACATGAGTGTCGTTGTGCGCCTTGTTGTGGGCATTTGTGGTCCCACTCATGCAAGACTAGTTGCGGGCACACACGCGAGCCTCGTTGCAGGCGTTCACAACCCCAGTCGCGCTCACAGCTTTGCAAGCATCGGGGGCGTTTGTGGCCCGACTTGCATGATGGTGTGTTCGTGACCCCTTGTGTGAGCCTTGTTGCGGCGCTCGTGGCCCCACTCATACGAGTCTCATTGCAGGTGCTTGTGGCTCCATTCACACATTGCTGTGAAAGTTGTGGGTGCTTTCTCGCGCACACACACACATGCGCCTGCCCCTCTCACAAAATCATCCCCTCTTTTTCCCCTCCTCCCCACTCCAGGCTGCCAACCCAGAAAGGTTGGAGAAATCTGGTTTATACTGTCCACTGGAGATAAACCCAGTTTGCATTCAGCAGCTACGTAAATTTCTTAGCGGCCCTTCTAGAGATACAAGAGAATGTCATCAATAGATGGTATGTGATGCTCAGTTGGCTTCCTAGCATATGTTGTTGTTAGTTGCGAAGTCTTGTCTGACCCATCGCGACCCCACGGACCATATTCCTCCAGGCCTTCCTGTCCTCTACCATCTTCTGGAGTCCATTTAAGCTCACGCCTACTGCTTCCGTGACTCCATCCAGCCACCTCATTCTCCGTCATCCCCTTCTTCTATTGCCCTCAATCTTTCCCAGCATCAGGCTCTTCTCCAGTGAGTCCTTCCTTCTCATTAGGTGGCCAAAGTACTTGAGTTTCAACTTCAGGATCTGGCCTTCTAAAGAGCAGTCAGGGTTGATCTCCTCTAGGACTGAACGGTTTGATTGCTTTGCAGTCCAGGGAACTCGCAGGAGTCTTCTCCAGCACCAGAGTTCAAAGGCCTCAATTCTTTGTCGCTCAGCCTTTCTTATGGTCCAACTTTCACAGCCATACATTGCAACTGGGAAAACCATAATAATAATAATAATAATAATAA